CATCTTCGGCAACATGGGCTGAGCTCTTCATTTACAAAGTTCTTATACCATTCTTAAACTCCAATCTACGGTCGTAATGGAAAACGACGAATGGTCCTGCGCAGGTAGCGAGGCAATTTTTCAGGAGAAGCAAAAACAGTTTTCACTTTATAACTCTTCTATTTTTCACTCTTTTAAGCTGTAATTCACCAGATATCTGATTGAGGTGTTCATAAAGCAGTTTCTAAAGTTTGAATGGTTTAGGTTAAAAAGTAGCAAAGTTATTCGACATTCGTCGTTCTCCCTTACACTGCGCGCCTGCAGGTGAGCCTTGCGATGTAAGCGAAAACGACGAATGGTACGGTTCGTCGTTCTCCTTTACACTCGTGAACGTTTATGAGCATAGGTGATGGTCACTTGTGACGCATTATTGACAGTAATGACTGTGTACTGGTTACTACAAATAAAAATAAGACGTATACAAACTAGCTATTATACGTATAAAGTTAGGTGTTTGTTATATCCCAACTGTAACTCGGTAAACGTCCTTCTTTTCCCTTCCTCGCTTGGCTAAATACTACACAGTCAGTGTACAAATCAGATGTGTACACATTTTCAACAGCTTGATTTAAAACTGTCTCATTCGGAACCAAAGTTTGGAGTATTCTCTTCAGAAGCGAGTTTTACTTTTATTTTCGCTAATTGCCAAATTTTATCTGCACGACCAAAGGGATCAGCAATGTTACAATGTCAACAATACGTTCAGAAAATAGAAGAGTCAAACTTTCACGTAAGAAATGGAACAATCTGACAAGACTGTATCACAAACGCTTTCGGGAGAGGTAATGCGACGCTTTGTATTTAATACAGGATTCAGTTGATCGGATCGGAAAATATACCACAAAGTAGAGATCTACAAGGACAGTTTGAATCTACAAGACATTATTATACTCGATCATAACGTCCATCAAGTCTTTAAAAAAATCGTAAAGCAAGACTAAGTGTCGCCACAATACGTCCACTTTTTAAGTTGGACAAAGAAATTTACTCTCATAAAGCAGTGTCATTAATTGCTTGGTAATTCTATAATGATGTCGACCAGTGACACGTGCTAGACAAATTGCGGCACTATAACCATCGTTGGGATTTGGGATGTCAAATGACTGGACAGCAAACTAACATGACGTTAGTCTGTGAACATCTGGCGGACACTAATATGCAGTGCTAATAAATTTCTCTCTAAATACTTTTTTGACCCTCCCATTCCCACCCCTTTCCCCCTGTTCCCATCCGTTTTCCCCTCTCTCCCGCCTGCTCTTGTCAATTCACACCATCAGCATAGGCCTAATACGTGAAGACAGACAGAAAGACACACTAAGTGATACATTCTTATAAACCTGGTCGACGGTACTCTGGGGGAGGGGGTGGTGGTGTATTTGTTTGCAAAAAACCTAGTAGGCCTATGTTTGTACTGACACAACAGTGACCAATTGCCATTCGTCGCCCATGCCGAATTTGCCCAACGGCAGAGACCAGGGGACAACGCCGAACGAGCAGTGATCCTTGACCGATCGACCATTCGTCGTTCTCCCTTACACTGAGCCCTGGCTCGGAGCTCGCCAGTGTAAGGGAAAACGACGAACTCTCAATTACGCAACAACGGATTAGGATATGACTAAAATTTTTACACCATCAGATGCAGAATTAAATACTCTATGAAATATGTAAAAATACAAAAATCGAAAAATTTTGACCATTCGTCGTTTTCCCTTACGACGGCAGAGATGGTCTCAAGGTTTTCTTCATGCAGCTTCTTTCATGGCTAATTCTTCCTATGTTTGAAGCGCAGATTCTGTCGCAGTGCTTGCATGTCAGTGTCGTAGATCGAAGCTCTGTATTTCCGCTGTTTTCCTTTCGTCGTTGGCGCTTCTCAGCCTGGTTGTTTCTAAAGCTGCTCTCTAGCATTATAGTTCGTTCCTTTATCATTTTCCTCCATGTTTTCCTGTCTTCAGCTATTTCTTCCCAGATGCTAACATCTACTCCAAGCTTAGATAAGCTGTTTTTGCAGGTGCCTTTGTACCTCAATTTTGGTCTTCCTCTTGGTCTCTTTCCCTGGGCAAGTTCTCCATAGAGAAGTTGCTTCAGAATCCGGTTGTTGTCCATTCTCTTGACATGGCCCAGCCACCGCAATCTTTTTAAACACATAATAGTTGTCATGCTCTGGAGGTTTGCACGTGCCAACACTTCAACATTTGTAACTTTGTCACGCCATGAAATGCCTAAGATCTTGTGGCAGCATCTGAGATGGAAAATGTCGAGGCGCTTTTCTTGTCTGCTGTACAAGGTCCATGTTTCAGATCCATAAAGGAGTGTGCTGAGGACACATGCTTCGTAAATTTTGATCTTTGTTTTGATGGTTAATCTTTTGTTTTCCCATGCTCGTTTTGTCAGCCTTCCAAAAGTTGTTGCTGCTTTCCCTATCCTGGTGTTGATGTCGATATACAGTTCATAAAAAAACAACAAATCTACAGTGATTTTTTAAAAAGACAATGTAGGATAGTTCACTTTAGTTTGAGTACAGAGAAGTGCATAGACATGATAACAATCACATAGTTCTGAGAAAGAGAAAGGTACACAGGAAAAAGCAAGGAGAGTAATAAAATAGGACCTATCAGTGACCCTCATCAACCATCCATGTAATGTAGGAATCCAACAAAGCAATAAGCAATTACCAGGCTGAAATCAAATCAAATGTTCTGGCATAAAGGGAAAGAACAAATTTTAATGTAGAATTGCAACAACAAACAAAAAAAGGCACAGTTGGAGTAAGAAGTAGAGAATTCAGCAGAAAATGGAGAGGGCCTACAACACAGTACCTTTTCCTTTGGGCATGAACTCTCTGGCCATATCTTTGCAGTAGTGGAGACAGCATGACAGAATGATGTCATCATTGATCCCCTGGAAGAGAAAAATAACACATCACTAGTTCAGCGGATATGATGCAGGCTTTTGATACCCCTGAATTACAAAGTTCTGTCTGCTCAGTACCTAGTTTAGAGAAATCGGATGTCAAGGATTTTGAGTTTCATATCATATTAGGCTTTTTCGAAAGAAATTCTTTGAATATCTTGATAATGATTCCCAATTTTTTTATCTTACGATTTTAATAGAGCAGATAGAACATTTGATTTTTGACCTCATAGTCTTAGTAACTTAGTAATTCTGAGGTAGCATAATAGCACAGAGCACTCTGATATGAATTCCCTAAACGGCACTTTTTTTACTTGTTATTTCAAAACTTTTCACTGCTCACCACCCACTTGGCATGGTCCTATTAGGGAAAACGCATTCTATTTGGAGACCATTCCTCATAAACACAATTCTTTTCTACCTGACCAAAGACACTCAAGACAACAAAATTTTTCTGAAGTATATTTACCCTTTAAAATTCATTAACATTCCAATGACAATCCCTATTTTCCTGTAAAAATTCTCCTCAGTTTGATCATTAATTAACAAAATAGACACACTTCTTTCTCTGTATGTGTACTGCAGTGAGTCTCAGGGGTCCACACGTTTCTACCACTGACCCCATTAGCAATAGCAGAGTCAGACAAAGTGTAATATCACAGAATGTAGCATGTCATGTCACAACAAAGAAAAAGGTGGCTTCAGCAAGACTAAAAAACCTACTCTTGCAAATATAAATATTTAGATAGGCAAATCATCATACTATGATTAAAATTAGTGCGTATTTTTAGTAGCATAATGTTATCAGAGGTATTATTAACTTTTTCCACCCTACATTCTTAACCAACAATAAACGGTTTCAACTGAGCTGAACAGGTAAGGGATTATCCCGAAAGCTTGGGAATCAAATCTCACAGCAATATTGTAAAACTCATTAACTGAAGAGAAAAACTCACTGCTGATCCATCCGATTCCTCGCTGCGGAAGGCAATGGTCTCCAGCACAGTGCCCTTAGCTGTCTGAGCCCTCAGGTGGGAGTTCTTGACCTCAAACTCAGCCTCCAGGAACTGAACGGCCTGGCTAGCTTGTGTCTTGACCATGTTGGCGTGGTCTGGGCTGTCGTACTGCTGGTCCCGGGCACCGCGGGACAGGCCGTCCAGCTCGTTGATCACTGAAAAGGTAAAAGATTTTTAAATAGGAAACAAGGAGGATAAACGGAAAACAGAACTATAGAACTCTCAAAGGAGACACAAAGTAGAAACATATGCTAGAATTAACTGATACAGACCACAGATAATTTTGACTGCGGGTGCAAATAATTTGTGACCCCTTTGTGACGTCACGGGCAGTCTCACAAAAAGTTATTAAGAAATATCTTAATTTGATAAAACCTCTATGTGTGGCATGTAGATGTTCAGAATGTAAAATACTATCCAATGACACTAGTAAAAAGGGTTGAAATGTAAGTGGTAAGGAAAAAAGGAAGAGAGGAAAGTGATGTGAAGAAAAGGAGCAATAGATAAAAGCCGCTCTGAGTGGCTCTGCATCACAACACAAAAGACAGTCAGCCACTGTGAGCGGCGCTGTGGGCTGAATCAGTTACACTTGTGTCTTTTCTGACAACTGCAAAGAGCCCTACCGTTACATCACCGACACCAGAATGAATTTGAAACTACACAGTATAGCCAGACATAAAACAAATCTCAAGAGATTTCAGAGCATCAAACTAAATGTATGTACGAGGTCACATCTCAAAAGCCAAAGGTGACATGTCATGCTTCATCATCAAATGGAAAAATTCTTTTATTACACAAAAAGACCACAACAACAAAAACTGTTCAATTTTAAAATAGTAGCAGCAAAGTGAATTCTACCCCTCTGGAAAAAAAAAAAATCATAACACACAAGTCTACTTTCAACTAAAACATAGTTACAGTCAAGGAAATTTTACTTTTAAAAATTTACCACAACATAAAAATCCAACCTTTCAATATCATACGATCACAGGAAAGCCAGTTTGACTAAAAAAATTAGAATAACACGACAAAACTCAAGTACTACCTTTCAACATAAAAACAAAGTCTCAGCACCTGTACATAAATAAAATCAACATTAAACTCACCCACTAAGGGCACAACTAGTGTGTATTTCTTCGTCTCCAGAATTTTCTTGAGGGTGGAGAAGTGGTCTATGAAGCAATTGGTATCAGCAACGAGAAAGATGGGCCGAATCTCCAGCTCAATCTTGGCATGCCGGTGGCTATCCAGAATAGCCTGAGACAAAAGCAAAGAGATCCAAACATTTCAGCACACTCAAAGGTTGAACAACAGATACAGGGGAAGAGGAAAAAGGAAAACAAGATAGAGTTATTAGTTTGAGCAAAAAGAAGTACATTAACATGATAACAGGGCCATTTAGGGAAGGCAAAAAGAAATACGAACAGACAAAAATACAGAGGTCATAAAAGTCAAAAGTCAATCGAGACAAAAATTAAATCAACTGGGTTTTTTTTTTAATTGAGAGACGAAGAGAGACAGAGTTAGCTACAAAGAAATAGAAAGAGAGAAAGATTGACTAAGAGAAAGACAGAGAGAGAGAAAGGAACAGAAATAAATAGAGACAGAGAGACAGACAGAAAGCCGGACAAAGAGAAAAAGAGAGAGAGACAGCAAATTGCATCACTCACATCCATACTCTCCTTGTTTCTTTCTCTCTCCTGCTTGCGTCGGTGCAGCTCCCCCCTCTTGGCCTTGAGTTTCTCGATGTGGTCGTTGCCATCGCTTCCCTCCCCTGAGCTACTTCCGTGTTCGATAATCACATCATCGGACTATGGACAAAGGCAAGAAAACAATAGTTGAAGAGTTTCACTTCCTAATTTTGTCTCTCTTTGTTTGATAAAAGAGAAGAACATCAACACAATAAAAGATTAAGTATTGGGAAGGAGCCAGACAGTAACAAAAGAAAGTCAGGAAGTAGGACCTACTGTGGCACCCTCCAATCACCAGTATATTTTTACAACATAAGAATAAAAAAGGTTTCAAAAGTAACAAGGAAATCAATAAATAATTGACAAATATCTATATCTATCTCCAGATAGATTATGCACTCTATTATCGTCATTCATTATCATTTTTCATTTCTCATGGCGTTTTCCCAACCTTTCCGTATTGTCCTAAATTTGAATTAAAAATCAGAGAAATTAAACAAAACAAAAGAAAGAAGAAGGAAACCATGCATTTTTGCATCTGATCAAGATCACAAAGGTATGCCACAAGTTTGCTATAAATAGAAAGCAAACCACACCAAAGCACCCACTAACCACCCATGTATGTGCTATACAAGTGCACTCTTTTATTATCATAATTATTACAATGACTACTACAAGTTTAAACCTACAGCTGGCTATCTGTAACATATACTAAATGGATGGGGGATAAGGCAGCAACCAACCATAGGGGAAGAAAATTAAAAGAGAAAAAAAGACTACAACATCAGTCTGTACATAATGACCTCAGCACTGACCCGTAAGTGAAGAACATTAAAAGAGAAAAGAACACTACAACATCAGCTTATACATAATGACCACAGCACTGACCTCTTCTCCGGAATCTTTGTCCTTCCCATCTTCTCCATCTGCGACTAGCTTCTCCTCAGAGCGGACAGGTGAGGGCGCCACAGAGTAGTACCGCCCGCTCTCCACATTGAACGCCAGCATGGGTGGCTCCACGCCGCACAGGTACTCTCCGAACAAGCGAAGCTTCTCGATGCGAAGCCAGTCCTCCGCCTGCCTCTAAATGAGTCAGAGAATAATAAATATTAAACCAGATGTATTCTGCCTTGCACTCCTTACATATATTATTTAATTGGGTTCTTTCTATTGCCTCAATCGAGTCCAAAGAACATGTGGTACATCACCAAATGTTTCACAAAGACCAGTACCCTCAAGCGGACCAATAAAAATGTTGGAAACTTAATACCCCCGGGGAGGTGCAACTGACCGAAGAGTCTTTAAACCATTCCCAAAACAGGAACATTAACATATTCTTATGTACAGTAGAATTGTGAATGGGCTGATTCATCAATGTCATGCTCATAACTATGCCTGAACTGCAACTGTGAACTGCTGCTTTTTCTTTCATAATCCTTACTATTGTCATTTTTCATCTACTTCTTTGGTATGTTTGTCACACTCTTGTGACCCGCTATTTCTGGGGTGCCTTGATAGTCAAAGCAGACTTTGTGCTGTTGAAGCTAGAGATGTGAGTAGAAAAAGCCTGATTCCATGTACAGATTTCTCTGTTGACATCCACTCCTCGGCGCTCATATGACCATATGCAGTTGCAAGCGCCATAAAAACTCTACAAAAAAAGGGAAACTTAAAAAGAACCAAAAGAAAATCAAAAGCCATTTTTCAAGTACAACCTCCTCATCAAGAGTTACTCATATTTCACCAAGAAAAGCGCAAAATTCCCTATTTACCTGCCAAAACATCTGCAAACAAAACAAAAATATGTCAAGGCTTTTCCTGCTTCTTTATTCTTCTTGGAGCAAAGAAAAATTGTAAGTCACAAAAAGGCAACAGCCTCGCAATGAAAAAAAAATGTTTTAAAAAAGCAAAACTCTTATACCACAAACACTCATTTCTTTACCTTGTCCACATCGACAGAAGCATAGAAGGTCTCCTGAGGGGCACTCAACATCGGCACAAATCCAGCCAGGGTGGTGTCTTCATGCAGGACAACTTGTTTGTAGCCTGCCCACGAAGAAAACAGAAGGATTGTAAATGATTGTAAATGCATTGCAACAATATCCACACAGTTAAATTCATTCAAGAGGCAAGCTGCTTTGACACCCCCCTCCCCCTCCCCTAAATCCCCACTTATACAATGCTATAATGTGAGAAAAACACTTTCCAGGCTACTTTAAGAACAATTCCACCACTCCCTTACTGATCAGTTTATACAAAACTCTACAATAAAACGAGTATATAACAGAATTTTTATATGGATGGACCAACGAACATCTCATCTCAAGACCTAACAAAGTCCTCAAATATGACTATATAACAAACCTGGTTTCTCCTCTCGTATAAGACATCCTTGCTGGGTCTCCACAGCATTCAGCAAATCACAGAATGTAGCTAAATTCTTCCACACATCAATCTGTGGCCTAGGGATATGAGATAAACAATGACAAAACATGGCTTACGGTGTGCTATGATATGGGTTTCAGTGATTACATACCAGGGGGTTTCTACACTTTGACTACAATTTTTAAAATTTAATTATAAAGTCAAACCTGCTCTAATGGCCACCTGTCCAAGACAATCACCTGTACAATCAAACGCTTCATCTTCCCATGTGTTTTTTCTACATTATAATGTCAGTGTCCGAGGCGTCTACCTGTCTAAGTAAGACAATCACAATTCTCCTTGAAAAGGAAAGAACATCTTCAGCAATTTTGACTGTATTTTGAGCAACGGAGGAAAATGTTTCTATAATTGGTATCTGTTCTTTTAAGGAAAGAAATAACAGCACACATCTAAAAACAGTAAACAATGGACAAGATGACTATAATCAGTAACACTGGTAAACTCCATGAGAAATGAATCCAGTCCCACCCACAACATCATTTATATTTAGACAATTGGCACAGCAAACATTTATGCATTGAAATTTGTTATTCCCTTATAAACGCAATAAACTCTCCAAGAGACAAGGTCAATCACACTGTAATCAAAATTAGAACATGGAAAGGCAATTTAGACCAAGAGTGTCTAAAAAACTTCACGATCAGACCAAGCTTACAAATAAGGAAAAATATATGAAAAATCTCTTATACTAACAAATATCGATATTTTAAAAAATCAGCATTCAGTTGAATCAAATATTCTGCATATTTGAAAAAAAGTTGGAATAAGAAATTTCATCTCCCTGTAATCAGAGCATTAAAAAATGTTGATCCCCTTTGAGACAGCGCTCCGACAAATGTTGCAAAAACAAAAATGGCAAAATAACGTTGCTTTAGACAGAGAAAAGACAAATGACTCCAAATATGCTCCTATGATATTAAGAGAAACAATTATTTCAATTTTCATTTTTGCGAAAGATTATGCAGGGACAAAATGTTTGGAGCATCTCAGTCGAGCTCTGAGGTATAGAACTTTACATTAAAAAAAGAGTTCAATTCCCAGCTCCATTAGACAGGATGTTGCATCCTTGGGAAAAGTACTTTATCTTATTTTCCTCATGTCAAAGGTATTGAGAGTTACATGGTGTTAACGTAACCCATAAATTACTTTACGTATGCTTTATATTATATGCTATTGTCACCAAAATGTCCCCTCAAAGAAAAGTCTTTGAGTAGAGATAGATAGAGAGAGAGCACATTGATGAAATAGCAGCCATTTAGTGCTAGGGTAAAAATACAAGATGGACTGACACAAAACATAGACACAGTAAAGAAACAGAACCTGCCACTCAATCCTTCCATCTACCATCTCACAAGGATAAATAAAAGTAGCATTTTTGCATTTCTTTTTAATGCCTAAAAAACAATTTTAAGATAAAAAGAAAGTTGTCCAAGTTACCCAAGGTCTGGGGGTCTGTTGAGAGGCTGTGGATTCCACAGATGGGCGTGGCACATCATCCACTCTACCCAGGTCTTGAGGGCAGGTAAGATGTTGTGCAGGTCCTCTCCCAGCTGACCGTTACAAGTCCCCCCGCCAGCATTCTTGACTACACTCAGTGGGTCCTCGCTGTGACTGCTCTCTGAAGGAGAACAGGCCGACTTCTCTCCTGAAGGAACAAAGAAATAGTAAATGTAAAAGTAAAAGACTGAACAAGTGAGAAAATGAATGAATAAGGGAAACCGAAGGAAGAAAGGAGAGAACAGGCAAAAAGAATGAACAAATGAGCAAATGAAGGGATGAATAAACAAATGTATGAAGGGGTGAAAGAAAGGAATGATCTAATAAATAAAACATACCAACAGACGGATGAAGAAACTTGGTAAAATAACTTCCATACTTGAAAATCGAACTCCAACTCGTTTGCATAGAATCATTACTTTCATTTGAAGAAGCAAAAACAAAACAAAAATATTTTCACTGAAACCCTTTAGCTAGTAGCTCTATCACAGCTCCATTTTCAAGACCAAAACAAAAAAATAAAATAATAATAAATAAAAAGACTCTCCGTTTGGGAAGCTACAAGTCACCACATACCAGAAGTGCTGACTTTTTTCAACTGCAAGGACAACAGATCGGAACAGCGCTGCACAAGCAAGCCAAACATCTCCAGGCCAATTTCCACAGCATGCTCCTGCAGCAGTGAGCGACAGTTTTCCTCCAACGACGAATCTGCAAGATAAGATAAGATGTGTCACGACGCTGTGGAATCAGGATCTCGTCAATTTTTGGCATATGGAATTATTGGTATCATCTTAAAGCTTGTTCGTTTGTCTTGATTTCGATAAAAAGAATTTCCCATCCATCTTCAATAAAAGTCAAAATATTTAGGATTGAAGTAGGTGGGAGTCACCTGATTTCACAGGTAAAACTAGCAAGAAAATGGCTGTTAAAGTTTGGTGACTTCCAAAGCTTCCTTGAAAACTACAAATTAGCATTTCAGTAAAATCTATGCTGAAATGTGTTTTTAAACAGGCACTAAAGGTGCTAAGTCAAAAAACAAAAATTCAATAAAAATAGCCACACCAGCAGGAAAATGACAGTTTCTTTAATTTCATGATTTTGTCAAGCACCTGATTTAACCACGCTGCCTCACATACAATATTTTATTGTCCCAGCGGGAAATTTTTCTTGGCATTTTAAAGTTATATAAAGCAGAGAAAAAGTTAAAAAAAACAACAGACAGAGGCAAAGAAAAGAAGAAGTATCTATCAGTAGGACCTATCAATGATAGGGCAAGAGCTGAGAAATTAAATGACACATGTACCAAAATAGACTCAAGTCACATATGTTTGTAAATGAATAAAAGAATATGTAGCTTTCCCTTTGAATACCCACTGTCTTTGGAAAGACACTACTTTTCCTCACTCTTAATTTTCACTTATGCTAACCTCTTGTAGTATAACAAAATTCATTACTCATGGAGCAATTTCTATACTGCTGGGTGTAGTATCAGCACTTCTGCAGCATTAGTTCTTCACCAAAAGACTTTATTCCCTTTTTAGAAAATTGTGCTTGACTGAGTAAATCCAATACCTCATTTCTGGCCCCATCAGTCTATGATGAAAGCTATAAATGTACAAAATATTTTTAAAATACAAAAAAGCATTAGATATCTTAAGTCCACTTGGGTACTTCTTAAGCCAGAAATAAAAAACAAGTTTCTGTTGCATTGTTCCTATCAGGAATCCTGAAAAGCAGGAAAATTGTAAGCATTAAACTGCATTTTGGTGATGTTGAAAGGCGCATCTTTGATAGAGCTTTGGGAGGGTGTAAAAATGGAAAATTATCGAAATTTGAACATAAGTGGATTGCTTGCTACAGTGAGGATATTCACCTTTGAGTGTGGTGTTGTCGACAGAGAACATGTTGATGACCATCAGCTGAAGGAGGCGTGTGCTGCTGAGTACACAAGGGCTGTGCTGGATCAGGGTGAGGAACTCGTGAAGCATCAGGCTAGAGCTCTCCGCAAACACTTCAAAACTGGCACCGCAGCCACCATCGCATCGGCACAACAGTCGTGGGTCGTGGGTGGTGGAAGAAGGGTGGAGGGTGGCAGTGGGTTCATAGAGGGTAGGGGGTAAAAAAATGTGTTCTTGTGTGAGTTGTTAGGCTACAAAATAATAATAATAATAATTATAATAATAATAATATTAATAATATCAATGAAAATAATAGAGGAAACAATAATAAAGCTTATATTACATCAAAGAAGGATCTTTGCCCTTTACAGTTTATTATTATCGGAAATTTAGTATGTTTGAATTTGAGAAAAGCAAACCATCTCAACACTAGTTTGGTCATTTTGAGCATGGAAAGGGCAAGACAGATGGAAACAACAGAAGGAAGAAAAGAAGAACATACCTTTGGTATTCTTTAAAATATAAACTCAAAAATGCATCTACATCAGACATTAGCTCAATGAAGAAGCAATACTATGTACATACAGAAGAATATGCACAAATACTAACCAAATCCACAAACCACAAAATTTGTCAGTTGAGGCATCGTAATAGAGTATCTTAAAAAAACAGAAAGCACATTTCGCCCGGAAAAGACCAGACCAATGGTAAGCAAAAAAAAAGTAGGAGCAGAGAGATTTGTTAGTTTTAGTAGAGGTTTTACGGCGCTCACAACTGCATAAGGTCATATGAGCGCCAGAAGATTAGAGGTGTTACAAGAGAGTAACAAACATAAAAAAGAAGAAGGGGAGACAAAGACGACAGATGTTTGATAGGAAAGAAGAAGCAAACCACAACCAGAGCACCCACCAATCACCCACGAGCAGAGAGATGTACCTCAGCTCCCACCAACTGCCAACCGAAAAGGAATTTATGAGATGACAGACAGAACTAAAAGGATAGACAAGCACTAAAAGGTGCTCTCCAGCCAACCCTTTTGAAGAAATTAAAAATTAACAAAGATAAAAATATATCGTGAAACTTAAACTTATAGACATTTTGATACTCACTTAATCTTGGTGAAAAGTTTCCCATGGACATTCAGGTATGTTAGCACAAACCGTTTGTTCAACTGAAATAACAAAGAAAGGAAAATAATTCAATAGTACAATCTTTTAGAAATAAAATAAATATCATTTCTATTTATCTTCATCAGGAAATCTGCACCATAATAGCAAGTACAGTATAATCTATAATTCGTTTAGTTGTAGTACAAGTTTTACAGCACCTGCAACACAATAAAATTGTATGAGTGCTGAAGGTTAGAGGTGTTACAAGCGTGTAAAAGTAACAAACACAAAAAAGAAGGAAAGATAAGGACGATAGACGTTTGATAGGAAAGAAGGAGCAAATCACACGAGAGCACCCGCCAACTACCCACATCATCTCAAACACACTAAGACAATAGAAATAAACATGGCATTGCTGGCCATCACTGTGCGACACTTTATATTTTTTACCAAGGGTCATCATATCTTCCTGATGGGTAAACCTCAGTGTCCAGCAGGCTAAATGATGTGACATTGACATGCTGGACATTAATGTGAGCCTCTGTCAACTAACCAATCCATCGCCGTAGGGACTGGTTCAAAATCAGTCAAACCTGCTCTAACAGCTAAGACAATCACCTGTTAAAACGACCATTTTCCACTCCCCCCCCCCCCCCTCGCATTTTTTTCTCCTATTATAATGACATTGCCCAAAATATATACCTGTCTAAGACAACCACTTTTCACCCCAACGATGAGTGGCTGTTTTTAACATTTTTGATTGCATTTTCTTTCCATCTTTGACACCATGATTGACACCTTTCAAATTTGTCCTTTCTTCAATGGAAGAAGGGTAGGCTGTTGTAAACCTCTGTTCCTACCGAACAGAATAATGATATTTCACTATTTATTGCATGTCTAGAGATTGTCTGTAATAGTATGTCATTGTGCATCTGATTTATTTTTACCATCTATGTATAGTACTGGCCATGGTAAACTTAGTCAATGATATCAACAAAGGTGACATTTCATATCACTTTGTCTGTACAAAATGAAAGACACATAATAAAAGACAGTACTTCCACCTCGCCTGTCATGGCCAACAGAGGCTGAGTAGGAAAAAGAATCCCAGTAAAAAGTCTGACACACTCAAAAAAAAAAAGTTCTCTAAGCAGGAATCAAACTCACAACTTTGTCGTGCAAGGCAAAAGGGCCAAACCATTATACCACTACAACATTGACCAAATTTACAGACAAACTAAAAGACAGGATTTTTATGAGCAAAGACTGACATCGTCCCTAAAATTCCCACATATACATCCATCTTTTGAGTGATTTAGTTTTAGTAGAGGTTTTATGGCGCTCGCAACTGCATAAGGTCATACGAACGCCAGAAGATTAAAGCTGTTACAAGAAAGAAACAAATATAAAAAAGAAGAACGGGAGATAAAGACAATAGATGTTTGATAGGAAAGAAGAAGCAAACTACACCAGAGCACCCGCCAACCACCCACTGTTTTGAGTGAAGAAAAGCATATCAAAACAACAACAGCCATTAAGCGCAGCAAAAGAGAAAAATAATTCGACAGAAACATCAGAGGGAAAGGAAAGAAGCAGGACCTACCAATACTGTTCTCCATCCACCCACACTCATCAATCTAAATTATCTTTGGTGGGTGCAAAAATACCTCAATGGCACTGAGGGAGCTCAGATCCTCCTCCTCATCTCCGTCCTCCACACTGTCCAGCATGCTTGACCCATCAGGTGAGACCCAGATCTCCACACGGGGACCTGCCGATGGCCGCTTCTTGCGCAGTTGCTGACGCTGTCGCCTCTCTTCAAATTTCTTCTTCTCCATCGCGTCCACCTATGAAAAAAAACAAACAAAGAACATTTGTGAGGCATGCTGACAAAGTGAGTTACTTCTCGCAATCCACAAATGGAGATATCGACCAAAAAATCAACACACTACCATCAAATTTATAGAACATGCCTTTTATTGTTTCTAACTTCTGAATAATAAAAACTTCACCTACAAAGTTGATGTATCAATTTCCATGAGGCTAAAATCCCAGAAGTAACTCATTTTGTCAGTACGTTAAACATTTTGTCCTCCATGTTGGAACTTTTACATCATTGGGGGGGGGGGGGGTTCACTTATATTCCAACACCTCAGCAAAAATACAGAAACCAACTTTGGGGTAATAATTGGTAACTGCATAAGTTCAACCCCCCCTCCCCCCTTTCAACTCTATAAGGTTATCTTAGAAAAAAGACTTTCATATTCAACGTCCATCTCTGATTGAACCAAATCAAGTTGATGAAAAACTTGAAAACCTCTCAAGCAACATAAGTTTTTTTTTAACTCTAACAAAGTTATCTGCCATTAGGGAATCAATTGAGGTAACGATGTGCCCCGAACTACTGTTCAATTTCTAAATCTCTAAACTTGCTAAACTGTCAAAAATATTATAGCTGTATTTTACTGGAAACTGAAGAGGACAGCAAGAACTTTCAAAGAAGCTGAGAGAACAGACCACACATCAGACTACAACATCCGAAAATCAAATTGTGATCAGTCAACGATAAATCATTTACGTTTTGGAAAAAAAAGAAGCCCGGCACATATTCTAAAGCTGCCAAGATCTTAATGCAGTAAATGGTAGCATCACTGAGCCCTGGAGAGGAATTCAGCTGAGCAGTAGAATCACAGGTATCAGAAAATTCAGGATCACAACACACACTTTCCATAAGGACAAAAGCAAGACAATAGCAACACTAACAAGAGGGAAAATGAAAAATACCACACATGAGCAGAGTACCCATAATGACCCACAGTGGTAGAGGTATATAGAAGTTGTAAACGGCCCAGTTTTAATTCATCCTGGAAGACCAAATAACAAGTAGCACCAGAAGTGGAAGCAAAGAGGAACAAATAAAGAAAATGAAAAGGAATGACAACAAAAAATATAGGAAAATGAAGAAGAAAAAGAAAGAAGTGTTAAAAGGGGAAAAGCAGTAAACGAAGAAGAAAGTAAAGGAGAAAAGAAAACGAAAGAACAGAACTGAAAAAAATAAGGACAGAAGGCAAAAATTATATAATAAAAGGTGAATTTTAAAAAAGGGAGAAGAAGCAAAAAAAGAGGAAGAAGAGGCGAAAAAAAAGAAAGAGGAGAAGAAAAACAAAGAGGAGAAGGAGGAGGAGGAGGAGAAAGAGGAAGAGAAAGAGGAGGAGGAGGGAAACAAATGAAGCAGTAGCAATATCTCACCTTTCTCCGAACCTCGTCAAACAGTGACATGAGTGACTCCCGAGCTGTCATTATGGGGTTGCTGGCAGCCAGACTACGCATATAGTAGTAAACAGCATCCAGTTTTCTTCGCTGTTGACGACAGATCACATAAACTTGAAATGACATCATCATTTATTGATTGTTTTTTTTCAAAGTTATTTCAAACACTTTTGATTTGTCATCATCATTTCTTCTTCTTAACGTCAAGAAAGATGATGATGAAGATAAAGCTCAAATTAGTTTTCCTTAAGTCATATGTGCATGCTTTATTTCTTATCTTTTCCATGAGTTTACAATTTTTCAGCAACAGGATATATATAGTTCGTCTTTGAATTACTCAAAGAGTAACAGAATAATCAGCAATTCCAGCAAATACAACTAAAAATGGCCAACAACTTTAAGACAAAGGCAGACTGCAGTGCTGTAAAAATGTCTCAATCATTATTGTACATGACCAGTAATATTTACTTCTATAATAATAACAGTACATGATCTACATCCCCATTAACAATTTAGATCATAAAGGACAAATAGGAGGCAAGCTGCTCACCCCTGCCAGTCAGGGCAAGCCTGTTGCACCTAAGATGGCCAGTATATCCCAGCACAAAAAAAGAGCCATGAGATTAACTATCTTCACGGAAAACTCAGTGCAAGGCAAAGAGACAACCATTGTACCACAGACACTGTCATGACTTTTTATCTCTGCCAATGAGAAATCCAGTCCAATTTTGGTGCATAGTATAAAAACTTATGAGTTAAGATGTCTAAGGAGAGCCGTCAACAAAAAAAGATGGGACATGATCAGAAACATCAGAATCAGACAAATGGTGCGAACAACACCTGCCCTCCACTACATTCAGAGGCAAACAATCAGGAGATTTGGACATCGAAACATATGGCACCTCACTAGCTAGCCATAAAAAATATCAGGGTACAAGGCAAGTGAAGACCAAGAAAGACCTGGATCAAGGGTGTGAAGGATACTCTGAAGACCCACAACATCCCACCCACCCGGGCCATCCAGTTTGCCAAAGACCAAAACCTCTTTCTCCCCTAGACGCCCTATATGGTACAAGAAGAAAGATAAAGTAAAGAAAGTAAGAAAGCATAGTATAAAGAGTAACCTACTGTGTAAACAGCCAGAATAGCCAGCTGGTTGTATGGACGGCCGTTGCGCGGGTGAATCTTTTGGGCTTTGAGGTACCAGCTGAGGAAAGAGAACAATATAGAAATCATGAGTAGAGAGGAAGACATTGACATGATAACTGCCACTGAGCACAGAGAAAGAGAAAAAAAAGACGGAAACAACAGAGGGAAAGGACAGAAGTAAGACCTGTCAGTTGCACCTTCCAATCAACCACACTCAGCCATCAAATTATCTTTGATGTTACTATACAGCTACATGCACTCAGGTACAACTATCTTAGCTTTAGAGTTCTCGTCATGAATACCATGCTCACCCCCAAATTTCATTTCAAGCATGCGCACTGTGTATGTTCAATTTTAGTAAGTTTACAGAATTTGCAGCACAATTCATATAAATGCTGAAGATTGAAAGTGTTACAAGAGAGTAACAAACAAAAAAAAGGAGGAAAGATAAGGACAATAGATGTTGGATAGGAAAGAATGAGCAAACCACACCAGAGCACCCGCCAACCACCCACTGTGTATGTTCGTAATAACAAATGTATGATATGCCTAGAGGGAGAAAATGAGCAAAAAGTGAAAAAAAGAGTGAGAGCAAGATGGAAAGAAAGAGAAAGAGGGGACGGGGATAGAGAGAATGAAAATATGTGTGCATATTGTGTGTAGCTGCAAGCTTCTGAAGAAAATACATAATTAATTTTTTCATAAGGAGAATCAATAAGTATTATATCCTAACCTTGGTTTGTATTTTTGTATCTTATTTTATATTATATCTTATCCAAGTTGTATATCCGACTCACTGTCTAGCTTTGCCATAGTTGGTGGTATCTGCAAGCTGCTCCCGGTACCGAGCAATGTCCCCGAGAAACATCATGACCCTTTGCGAGCTGAGCAGGGCCAGTTTGACATAACGAGAGGACGTCTCCGGTACAGGGCCGTGACTTTCCGTGTACTGGTCAAGGTCAAACTCGTACGTCGACTGCAGCTTTTTAAGTAGGTTCTCAAAGAAGCGGGTTCCCTGTGAAAAACATTTCAGAAAAAAATATACGACACGATATAAGATATATAACCATTAATTTCAATACTGAATAGTTATGAGCATTGTGAAACACTTATGGGGCCAACAGTAGATGCACTGTATTTCGACTGCGTGGACTGACCTTAATAATAAGAATCTAATTGCAATGTAAGGAAAAAGTGGGTCACCTCTTTCTATCAATAACAGCAATGAGAAAAATTTTCGAACGATAAGAAGACGGGAATTTTCAGTAGCAGTTTTTTCAAATACTCTGATTACATTGATAACAACAAAGTGAAGAATTTTCACAGGATAAGATGACCTGAGATTATCATTAGGAGTTTTTTCAAATGGAGTAATTCCATTGATAATTACAATGAGAAGAATTGTAGGATAAGAAAACAGATTTTTCTGAGTATTTTATTTTCTAGATGTGACCATAACAAGTTAAAAAAGGTTTCTGTGGTAAAATTTCATTGTCTTGAGCGTCCCGGGCCAAGGTAGACAACTTAGATAGACTACTGATGCAATTCCCATCTTCAGCATTGCTCACTCTCTAACAAATCTGCACAGACCTAAGCTCAATGTATCAGTAGGACTTATCCCCTCCTTTCAAATCCTTCCAACCTCGTCCATCTTCTTTAAGATTTAAAAACATCAGAAGTACAGAACTTCTAAGGCAAAACAGGATTAAGAAGAGGGTTTTTCTGACTTAATGTCCGTTTCTGATAGAACAGACAAAAAGACAAATAAAAACGTGCAAGGCAATTGTACATGTACACATAGCGTATTCAAGTAATAGTCACATATTAACTGAATATTTATAAAATAAAAGCAGAACGTTTTTAACAAAAGCAGTTAACGGCAAAATGAAAATATACCTTTTCATACAACCCAGAAGATCCACAGTCCTCACATAAGAGGTTGTTCAAGGCATAAAATAAAGGGAAGCTAAATTATTCAAATCCTTCAACAATGCAGAATTCAGCAGATATCACAAAACATAACACCCTTATTTACAAATTACAGACCATTGCCATTTTGCATTTAACAGCCTATTCCCATTTTGCTTTTATAAGACAAATACATGTCTAAATTTAGATGTTTCTTCTGAAACATAGCTGCCACTCAGGAATTTCAAAAAAGGAGGAAATTCATGCGAAGGCGGACGCGCGCTCTCCGAATGCTGGAGTAAAGCCAGTGAGATCCAGAGGCAATATATACTGGAAAATCTAGCCTATTGTTTTGGAAGGGAAAACTGTCATATTTGTTAACCATAGGCAACTGAATTAAAATGTATTTGAAAAAAACAACAACAACAACAAAAACAAACAAAAAAACAACAACAACAAAGGCACTACGTAGACTAACAAGCATTTGTTGAGTCAATTTGACACAGTTTGGACTTGGTGACTAAAAATCCAGTGTTTGTTGCAAGCTGGTGTCTTATAAAAAGATTTCTTTCAACTTGTACATCGATGTTGAGCGCGCGCAGTATTGGATCAAGGAGGCAACACCTTTGCCGCTGTACTGAGCACTCCTGTACAACTGCGGTCCCGTTTGCACTTAACTTAGTAGTCCTCTGTAGAGCGTAGATCTAACCTGAATTAAAATAATAGCCTAGGCTATCTAATCAAGATCTAGAATTTAGATATCTAAATATGTGTAAATCTAGATTATATCTAGAGATAGATTTTCTAGATCTAGATTCAGTGTTCACTTCATCAACAGCCACAATATAGCCGTCATGTAAACAAACGGGACCGCAATTGTACAGGAGTGCCGCGGGCCGCGATTTCTTTATCGCACCAAACGCAAAGTGCAGCAAACAGTTTGTTCAATTTTCCCATGAACTTTTCAAGTCGCACCGGCAGCTTCTTTCTCATTCCAGCTCCTTTTATTTGTGCATTCAGCATCAATTTCTCTCAAATTTCCGCCGTTTTCAATGACAACTCGGCGCGCTAACGTCCCGATGCCCGATCGACACTTTGTTGCTCCACAATAAACAAAGTGAAACTAACGCTAGGCCTAGAAGAACAGAAGTAGAAAGCTACGGGCAGACATGCGCAAGCTGCGTTTTCGTCTCTCTCCCAGTTCGGCGTTTTCCGCGTGTAAAAAAGTATCGCAATTTGCGGCCGAGAGCGGTCCAGCGGAGGAAGGAGGAAAGTAGCGGGAAAAGCTAGATGAAGCGGAGTTTCCGCTATTTAGCGGGAAAGTGGCAGCTATGCTGAAAAGACCTACACAAACAATTAACGCTCCTGACAAGCAAAGAAATAAGTAAATGAAGACAAAATGAATTACTTACCTCATCCAAGACTTCTGCAAGTCTCTTTTTGCATAGAGAATTTGCTGACTCATCACTCACTTTCTTACGATTTGACTCGATCACTTGATAATACACCGATTTCCACAAAGTCTGTTCTACATTCTGTTTATTGGCTACTTCAATGTCCAGTAATATCACTTGTTCTAAACGGTTTTGAAGCTCAGCCCTGTCAGGAATAAAGGTAAATTCAACTATATCAGTACAACAAAAATTAACAGTTTTCACTCTTTTTTCAACAAAGATAGGGGAGGACAGCTGAGTGAGGGAAAGCAGGCTGGATATTTAATTCCGTTAGAAATTTCCAATTGGAACTAGTAAAATATTTTAGTTTGTATGTAGGAATAAAATTTAGACACAACTTGCTTTCCATTTTTCATTGCACTTCACAAAAAATCTCAAATTTAATCTATTTACTTTCATAAACTTTTGATGAATAACTTCATAAAGTACACAAGTAATGTAAATATTCAACAGGAAAAACTTTTCAAAAATTAACTAAATCACTTTAGATGTTCATTGCCGTTAGGAAATGGCAACCAAGAAACATTTCTTGTCATGCAAACCCTAATACACCTACTTTGCAAAAGGAATATTGACATATGTGAGGCATCGTGGTCAAATCAGGCGCTTGTCAAAATAATGAAATCAAAATATTGGCATTTTTCTGGATGTTGGGCAATTTTTTTTTTCTTTTATTTTTTTCGCTCAATATCTTTTATATACATGCAAAAACACATTTCTGTGTGGATTTTACTGAAAAACAAGGCACAAAAATAAAAATGTTCAGTTTCCAAGGACGCTCAAGCTATGGAAATTACCAAACTTTGACGGCCATTTTCTCGCTAATTTTACCTCTAAAACCAGGCGACCCTGACATCCTTCAATCGCAAAAATTTCAATTTCTTTTCAACACAGATGGATCATTTTTTCACCGAAAGCAAGGCAAAAGAACAGGCTTTAAGAAGATACCAATAACCTCATACACCCAAAAATTGACAAGAGCCTGATTTCACCATTTCGTGACACATATACAACTTGAAAAAAGTTTTCACTTGACAGATACAGTTGGAAAACTGTTCGTCAGTATACACCTTCACCTTCACCTATCCCGTAAACTGGATGTCAATCGGGGTGCTTTTAAAGATTCGGCCGCCAGCTTCCTCCACTCCTTCCGGTCTTCAGCTTTCCTGGGTGTGTCTTTGAAGTCCAGGCCTGTCCATTCCTTGTGTTGTCCTCCCAACTCTTCTTGGTCTGCCTCTGCTCCTTTTACCTGGATGCTGCCTTGCAGGATCTTCTTGGCAAGGCCGAATAAACGGGTGAGGTGTCCATACCATTGTTGTTTGCCTTTCCTGACCAGAGTGAGGTCAGCATGGGGTCCCATTTCATTTTTGATTAGTTGTATGACTTCATCATTTGTGATGTGATCTTTGTATGAGATACCAAGGATTTTTCGGAAGCATCTCATCTCCACAGCTTTGATCCTTCTTTCAAGGTCTGCATTCAAGGTCCAGGATTCACATGCATACAGAAATATTGACATGACCAGAGAACGCATCAGTCTGATCTTTGATCTGATGGTGATATTTCTGTCGTTCCACATGGTTTTCAACTTGGTCATAGCTGTTTGCACTAATATGGAGAGTATTTTTGGTTTTGACCCTTCGTCTGTTACTACTATTGCACCCAGGTATTTGAAGCTGCGTACGGTCTCAAGCTCTGGTTGTTGACCTGGATGTCCATTGTGATGTTCTTGCTGCTGTTAAACATCAGTTTGGTCTTCTCAGCGCTGATTTCCATGCTGTAGGCTGTGGAGGTCTTTTCAAGATGGTCTACTTAGCTGACTAGTCCTTTCTCTTGTCCCGCAAGGCTGTCTATGTAGACTGCAAAACCTAAGTTAGTAATCGTTTTGCCCCCAATACTGACTGTTCCTTTGTGATCTTTAAGTGCATCTGTCATGATCTTCTGTGAGAAAAAGTTGAAAAGAGTGGTTGAGAGCAGACAACCCTGGCATACTCCCATTGTTGTTAAGAACCATTGCCCAAAGTTGTTTTTGAAAAAGATTGCGCTTGTAGCTTTGTTGTATAGCTTTTCTATGACTTTGATCAGGTTGGCGTTGATGTTGTATAAGTTCAAGGTTGCCCACAAAGCTTCCTGCCATACTCTGTCAAAAACTTTTTTGAAGTCCACAAATACATAGTGAAGCTCCTGTTGGTGTTGGAGGTACTTTTTCATGATGATTCTCAAGTTGAATATTTGTTCAGTTGTGCTGTGCCCTGTCCTGAAGCCTGCCTGTTCTTCTGCTATGATTTTCTCTGCTTCTGGCTTCAGTCTGTTGAGAATTACTTTAGCATTACTTTACTAGGATGGCTAATCAGGATAATAGTACGATAGCATTGTAGAAGACCGCCTTTCTTGGGAAGAGTGACCATCAAGGACTGAGTCCATGGTGTTGGCCATTCGCCCGTCTGCCAGATCTAGTTGCAGGTTATCCTTAGCATGTCTATCATCGAGTCTCTGCCTGCTTGAACTATTTCTGCTGTGATGTTGTCTATTCCAGCTGCTTTCTCTGTCTTCATTGATGAGACTACTGCTACTATCTCTTCTCTCAAGATTCTGATTTTGTCATTATTGTCTTGTGATTGGGAGACATTGAGCACTCTTGGATCTCCTATGTGTTTGCGGGTTCAGAGCAATAATCTGTCACCGGTTCTGAACTCGTCAGTATACATTTCTTTATAAAATACACCTCAGCCCCCCCCCCCATATACACAAACCCACACACGCACATACATGCATGTACACACTTTTGCACAAACACAAACACGAACACGAACGCCAGCGTGCATGCACACACCTGATCTGGTTGACCATTCTGTGGCTGTCGTCAGAGTGCGGCCTCCGTGACAGGATATTGCCCAGCTGACTCTCAAATGGCACAGAGTCGCGAAGAATCTGCTCTGCCATCATGCGGCTCTGAGATCGAGACCCAGACGACATCATCCCTTCGCCATCCCCGTCCCCTCTGGAATATGTAACAAGAAAATCCTAGTTTAACACAGGGTAATATGACAGCAAATGTTTACAAACTACAGTCGAACCTGCTCTAACAGACCATCTGTTCCCAAGACAATCATCTGAACAAATAATCACTTTGCCTACTCCCCTTGTCTTTTTTCAAATCTATATGATGACACTGTCCATGTGGACTACCCGTCTAAGATGACCATTTTTCTCCTTAAAAATGGGTGGTCATCCAGGACAAGTTTGACTGTACTCTAAAATACACAATGAAAACATTCTTACTCCAACCCAGGGCCAAATGAAACAGATGTGCATAAACCTCTTAGAAAAAAAATGTTTCTTGAATCCATAATAAAAATGTTTTTCAAAACAGCAAAAAACTCCATCTGCAAACTCCCTGACTAGATGAAATAATAACAAACATCAAGAAACTCTTCTAAATGAGCAACAATACAAACCTATTTGAGTCCAAAGAAACCAAATAAGACACCCATAAAATGTATCCTACTCAGTGCCTAACATCTCGGTTATAATACTTTAAACATGCAGCAACAAAGCAAGACAATCTAAACCCAAAGGACTAGGAAACAAGCTGAAAACCTTGCTGATAGATAGAGGATTCACCCGTAAACAGTTTTGCTCTAAACAAAAGCAGACCTATGTTGATTTAAATACATGATGTGTAAGTAGTTAATTTAAAGAACCACACTTTTTACTGACCCACAACCATTGACAATTCTGATATACCTACTGTTTCTTGACACATAAATCTGAGCTCAACAAGAGATATTCATTAACATTAGTGAGAACTAAACATCACATCATTTGACCAGTATTTTTTTGGTTTCAACAGAAGGTCCTTAAGTTTGTGTCAACACAAATTCAATGAGTATGTGTACATGAAGCATCTGTAAATACATGTCATAACGTTCATGTTCGCACGTGAGCATGATAGAATGAATCAGGTACGACCTCAAAAGAATTACAACTAGCGACAACATGAACCACAAATTCAGAGTCAAATGCCAAAAGGACTTCAATATGGAAGGGTTAACAAGAGGAAAAACAATAGTGGAACTCACCCATTGTAAAAGGCCATGTCTGGCACAGGCATGCGTGGGAACCGGAAGAACATATGAGGTGGCATTGCTCGCGGGGGGAAGCTGCCCATTGGGTACGAGCCATGTGGGGGGCCAAAAGGACGGACCGGAGGTCGGAAGCAATATGCTGGATGAGGAAAATCAGGAGGATAAAACTGGCCTGGATACCCAGGATGACCATGCTGACCTTCAGGAGAGGACGCAACTGGCCCCGAGCCTGGGCCGAGGGGAGAAGAGTTGTCTTCGGTGTCTTCGAATTTGGGTGGTGCGGCCGGGGCACTGTCAGGGATGACGATCGGTTTTGACGGATTGTTCGGGTCAAACAAATGCTTCTGGCCTTGAGTCATGCCACGTACATTAGAACCAAATGCGCCCCCACCACCGCTGTCATTGTGGTGGTTGTCACGATGATGAAAGTAATCTGTCATGGATGCGCTGGGATTACTGTGGGGTCGCGGAGGTTCTTCTCGTGGTGGCAAATGTAGCACACCTCCACCCCTCGCCCTGTGATTGATGGCAAAATCATCGTGATTGACTAGACCGGAACTGAAGTCATGACCTATATGATGATGGTGATGATGACCCCCTGAGGATCTCTCTCCACCTCTCCACTCCTGCTTCTGTCGGCTGTTTCTTCCACGGCCTCGTCCACCAGCACCGGAAGAAGGACTAGCATCATGAGCTGGGTGAACTGACCGCTGATCACCTGCACCTCTCCAAGAACTATTGTCATGTAGTAGACTGTCCTCTTCCTCCACGCCGCACCAGCTTCCTTCGCTCTCGTGTCGAACACGATCTCCTTCTCGGCCTTGCTGTATTCCGCTACCTCTCCTCCTCCTTCCTCCCCCTCCACTTTCTCCACTCCCTCCTCCACTGTCTCGCCGAAACCTAGGCGGCGGCTCTTTCTGCCACTTTTGAGGAGGAAATCGGTCACTGCTACGGTTAAACTCCATGCTCTGCTCTCCGTCCCAGTCTGCAGGCTCGTACTGGTGATCTCGCGGCAGACGTTCAAACAGACTTTTGTTCTCCCCTTTATGCTTCTCTGAATTACCAGTATTACCTCCTCTTCCCTTGTTCAACTCAACATGCCGATGTCTACGGCCAATGGTAACCTGCAGCCCAGACATGTTGCTGCCCCCATCACTCTGTTCCTTCCGTCTGAACGCATCATCCTGGTACTGACTCCCGCCTTGAGAACTACGCGAGGAGTGGCGTCGTCTTCTTCTTCGACGTCCCCCTTCACTGCGACCATCCTCCCCATGTGCGGCACTGTGCACTGAAGAATCCCGACTACCTTGTCGAGATGACGGCTTTCTTTGTCGATTCCTCCTTCGGGTCCTCCCTTCTTTAGGATTTACCTGGTGAATTTTATCAGCGGAGACAGACTTTTGGCGGTTCAGAGTGGACACGGCAGAAGAGGGAATGTTTCCACTTACTGCATCACCAGCCACGCTTTCAGATCCCAGGTCTGGGTAGGCGTCAAGACTGCTGGTCAGTTTCTGAGTACCATCATGTACGATTCGGGCCAGTTCCTCAAGATGGGCTTTCTCTACTTCAGCACACCAGTCCAATATTTGTTCGGGCTCATCGTCTTCAGTGCCAAAGTCGCTGCTGCCACTGTAGAAAGAACCATTGCTTAGGTTGCTGGCTACACTGGCCTCACTACTGATGCTACCTGTCCTCTGCCTTCTCATACCCCAGTAAAACTTCTCTCCTTCTCGACCACCACTCTTTCCTGTCGATGCAATATCTTTGTTGCTTTTTCCGGAAGAATAAACATCCTTCGCCCCTGACTTATAAGAGTTACTTCCAGATGGTTTCGTGCGTGGAAATGTTCCACTTGTAAACTGTCCTTTCTCTAAAACCTTGACCGGTGGATCGGGTTCTGCATTGTCTGACCGTCTAGAGTCGCTTGAGTTGGACCTCCGCATTCTTGTGTATGATTTGACTGGTTGATCGTTCCTCCTGTGGTGGTCACCTCTTCCCCTTCCCCCTAAAGCAGGTTCTTGATGAGTCCTACCTTTTCCTCCCTCATAAAACTGTCTTCCTGACCTCTCACTTCTACCAAAGCTCTTTCTGTCCGACTCAGAGTCTTTCAAATTTTTATAGAGCTTTCCTTGCTGGTCAGAACCTAGGGAGTCTTTTGAATCCTGCCTTTGTTGCGAAACATTCTTCCTCTGAGGACCAATGTTCTGCCTAGAGACGGTTGGTGGGGTTTTGTTGTCTTGCCCTGGAGAGCTGGACATGGACTCGTTCATAACAGTCACTCTCATAGCACCACCCCGTGACTTCACCTGGACTTTTCTAGGAGTCAAGGCACCCGAGCTGTCTTCAGCAGTTGAAACAACTACTTCACCATCATCTTTTTCTCTTTTCTCAAAATCCTCTTCCTGATCTCCGTCCTCATTCTGAACAGCTTCAGGGGAAAATTCTTTTTCTTCGCTCTTCCTGTCTCTGTCAGAGAGGCGAGCCCTCGGGATGTACCTCTGCAAGTCTGGTCTCTTACCCCTTCGTTTACTGACGCCTCCTCTGCTGCCCAGGGCTCTCTTGCTGGAGCTAGCATTCTCCATCTCATTCCCATTGTTATATACCAACGACATATCACCTCTTCCTTCAACACTCTGACTATCTGAAACGGGACTAGCGCAACTCTCTCTTGGTGGGGAGCTTATGTACAAGTCATCAAGTTTCTCTTGAACGTCATTTTCCTCTATGTCTCCACTGCCTTCCCTGCTGTCCTTGGCTCTGTCCTCCTCTGTTGAGTCACCCTTCAGCTCATTGTCCCAATCTTCTTCCATGTACTCGCCATGCTGCGACTCCTTCCCTTCATCTCGACTTCGGCCAGGATCCCGGGGGCCTCTGTTCTGCCTCAGCTGACCCGGTCTATATATCTGTTGTGCAGGTCGTTTGGCTTTCGACTGCTTTTGCTGGCCAGTCTTTTCTACATTTTTTTCTGAGTCTTCCTGAGTGTCTGTAAGAAGTAAAGTACATCCATTAGTTCAAGTTCAATAAATCTAAAAACAAGAGCCCACAATCAGAAAATTAAAACAAAAGGAACCACATTACTCCTACCCAGGAACAGTTAACTTGGTTTTTAACGCAAAGCCATTTTAACAAGAAATCCCTGGCCCTGCTATTACAAGAATTTCAAATCACTGTTTTTCCCCCCCTTTATTCTATGCATTGCAACGTAGTAAAAAACAAGGCCGGCAGGTATGGTTGAAACTGATGAATGTTGGGCCTTTTTTCCCCTCTTCCCTATGATTTGTTATCCTCAGAGTAACTTACCAATGTTGATTGTTAATAAATGTTACACAACATGTGTTCAATAATTTCGAAACCACCCCACCCCCTAAAAAAAATTGAAGTTTCTTTCCTAATTCCCGGAGACAAAAGATGGTGCGAGAGCAGAGTTTTTGTTTCGCAGGACATGGATATGAGACCCTGGGAGGCTGCAAACTATCCGTAACTTAAAGGAAACTTCCAATTTTTCACTTTTCAGATTGTCTCGAACAGCAGCTACAATTTATCCATTCCATATTTAGTTTTTTAAATTTTTGGTCTAATTTATGAAACTTGAAACAAAACAGTAACCTCCCTTTAACCTCATTCTGTGCAGTAAAAGCACCTCTATGAGATTGAAAAATAAAGCTTTCCCTTTTATTTACAACGATTGCCAGCATCGCACATGTTATTTACGATGACTAAAAATAAGTTCATAAAAGGCCTTCATCTGATCCCTTTTCTTTGCTTGTTCAATACATTACTTCCCGGGAGGAAGATAGTCTCACATTTATACAGGGGCCAATGAACAATAAGTATGGAGTCACCTACCCATTTTTGTTGTTTTCCTTTGTTTTCTGAGCTGCTTAACATGAAGAAATTCTCTCGTTCTCTGGTCCCGTGACTTTTGTGTTATAATTAAAATTTTGCTATCAGGGGAGCATGCCCTTTTGTATTGAACCATAATTTGATGTTTTGGAAAATTAGGTTTTTTTACCCTTGCTCAATGCGCATCAAACATCATATCATTATCAAAGCAGAAAAAAGTAGTCTTTTCAAACCAGAAATAATAAATTAGATTTAAAGCATTCACGAAGCCAAAACTCAAAGGCCTACTCCATGGTATAATTGTTGAGGCCAAAACCAGATTATCCCTAAAGGGCCTATCACATCATGTACAGGCCAACAGGACAGGTTTTTGACAATAGGCAAGCCGTACGGCCTGACGGAATCGAGGAAACTTTGTTTACTATTACACGTCACAATCGACCTGAAGGCGGCCGCACCTCGCGAGAAACATATTCTACACACTAGGCCTAGTCTGGGTGAAACAGACAGAATCAGCAATGATGAAATGCATGCAAGGTAATTTTTTTTTTTTTAAATACCATCCAAGTTGCTTGCCTCCCTCAGCCTGATATTCCTACTGATTACACCACCTGCTGCCAAATGATCAAGTCAAACCTCAAGGAAGACTGGATGAATGAGTGGGCAATAGGTACGACAAGAAGGATGATGTATAGCCACATGAATAAACCACTGGTCAAAGATCCAATCAATGAGTTGAAGAGGGGAGATCAATCCATAATCTTCCAACTTAGAACACAACATGTACCCCTCAATCAACATCTCAACCGAATTGGAGTAAAGCAGTCTGCTGCCTGCCCACTATGTGACTACCCCTCAGAGACAGTGGAACATCATCTGTTCTTCTGTAGAAAACTAACTGATTTAAGGGGATGTTTTCTTACCAAGCTACTCTACACATCTAACTGCCCCTACTCCTCAAGACAACAATTACAACAGACATGCAGCAATTACAGAATGGCATCACGCAGAAGAGTTAACGCTCAGATGCTACTGGATCGCTAACAACAACAACAAATACCACCCACCCACACACATACGCTGGCGCAAAACATTAAAAAGTGCGGGAATGGAAAATCCTATACAAAACAAAACAGGTCAGTCGGCCTGTACATGTAATAGGTAAGTTGGAAAACAGATTTCGCCAGACTTTGTAGAGCCATTGTAATAATGCAACCTTAACATCACCATTAACGGAAATCCGCTAAAACAAGTCAGCGAGTTCAAGTATCTAGGTAGCATCTTTTTGGAAGACGGACGTCTCAACAGAGAAATTGAAACGAGAGTACAACAGGTTAACAGCGTCAGCTACCAGCTTGCTCCACTCCTCAAACATCATAACATCCCCATTGAGACCAAAGCCAAGCTCATTAACTCTATCTTCATCCCCACCTTGACCTACCAGTGCTAGACATGGACCCTGACCAAAGGTCTGGAACATAAGATAACCACCTGCGAGATGAGATGTCTAAGGAGAGCCATCAACAAAATCAGACGGGACATGGTCAGAAACAACAAGATCAGAGAAAAATGGTGGGAACAACACCTGTCCTCTACTATTCGAAGGCAAACAATTAGGTGGCTTGGACATCTCACACGTATGGAACCTTACTAGCTTGCCAGTAAAGCCTACTAAAGGAAAGTATCAGGGTACAAGGCAAGAGGAAGACCAAGAAAGACATGGATTCAAGGCGTGAAGGATACCCTGAGAATTCAATACCCCACCCAACCAGGCCATCAAACTTGCTGGAGACAGGAAGCTCTTTCTCCCCTCGACGCCCTACACCTACTTACTTTTTTAGTTTCAGATTCTTAAAAAAAGTGTTCATCAATCTAAGATCTACTCAATACCGGTAGTGACAGAAGCTTTTCTGAGAAACTACAGTCCAAATATCGATCCTACCAAAATGAGGCAAGCTGGGCTTTTGTTTTAGTCAGCTGAAAGTGGGCTTGCAAGGACTGGCTGCAAAAAATAAAAAGCCTTATAATCTGCTAATTTGCTCGTCCGGGGTTACAACAGATCTCTTTTGGGGTTTTTTAAAATTATCTTTTTTAAATATCGGGACAAAAGTTCCCCCTGCACTTCTTTTCGTGGCAAAATCCTAATTTGCAAACCTCCATGGCACGAAACTCATTTCCCTGGCAGTCCCAGAATTTCTGTGGCACTTGGCAGCTCTGCCAAAGTCAAAGGCCTTGTCCATCATATATAATCTGTTGAGGCTTGAGGCCAAAACCTGATTATAATCCTTGAGTCCTAAGTTGAAAACAAGATTTCGCCAGACTTTGTGGTAGGGCCATTGTAATAATTTTGCATTCGTATGACTGACTATTACCCAACACTGTTTGCCGAAACGGGCCTACCTAGATCTACTTAATTTTATAGTTTTAGATTCTCAAAAAAATAGTTTTCAACGATCTTAGATCAAGACTTTAGAACTACATTTATCTAGAGAAGAAAGATTGGTGATATTATACTTTAGCAGGTATAATTCTTCAATTGATTTTATCTAAGCTATCGTAGGCTAGAGGTCCGTTCATACTCCCAAAGCAAAAATGTCGACACTACCAGATGGTTTTTTTTCTTCTCGTTTCTTCCGCTTCCCGGTGTATGCCGGTTGGTGCCAAAAGTTTCCGCGCGCCTCCAAGTTTGAATGCACGCTAAAATATGAGATCGTTAAATCCCTAAATTTAATTTTACCGATAAAAAGAAGCCTAAATGACTCTTTGTTATACAGGTTTTAGGCAAAAATATTACATGCCCAGGCGTATCCATCAACAAACCACTCTCCTTCTCGTTTCTGGAATTTCATCAACACATGATTATAGTGTGTGTGTGTGTGTGTGTGTGTGTGTGCGTGCGTGCGTGCGTGCGTGCGTGCGTGCGTGCGTGCGTGCGTGTGTGTGTGTGTGAGTGTGTGTGCATAAATATATATATATATATATATATATTGCATGAGAAGAAAAGAAGTAGTAAGAAAGGTTTTGAAAATGGATTCCAGTGTAAAGCGCATTGACCTATTTTTTTGGAAAAGCGCTCTATTTAAATGTCATATATATATATATTTACTAGCTGGGCCTCCTTTCGATTAAAGGAATGATCGGTGCATTAACATCAACTGAAAGTCATTGGCCTACTATATTTTTACAGTCTACTGGAATGGAGCAATAAATCTTGAGAGATGCAAAAAATTACAAGGTCTAGATCTAGATCTATACTCTCAAAACAAAATGCGCCTCGCAAAATATCACTTCCGCACCGGATTTTCTAAAACTGCAGAGACAGAAGCGTCGGCCTACAAAAGCGATCGGCGAAATAAAGAAATTTAGCTTTTTGCAGCAAAACTGTCTCGAAACTGAAAAAAACTAAGGGCGTCATGATCTGGAGAATATTTTGAAGAATCTTTTGGTGAAAAACGCCTGTCGATCCACGCAGCCATTAAAAAGTCTTTTGAATAGCAAAATTTGGCCACCACAAATAGATAATAGATTAATATAAATATTATAGTATGTGTATGTTCATGCATTGAAATTAAAGAGTGTCCCGCCAGCCATTTGATGGACTGTAAATTGTCGGCTGTAAGAATACACAGTTCCCTGTTTTTCACGTCTAAATCTCCGAGTCCGGAAAAGGTGTTGGAACAATGCTGGTTGGAGCCGAAGGTCGACCACGTCGTGCTGCCATTTAAAGTTAAAGGCGCGCGAAAACTTTTTTTGCACCAACCGGCCCCGGAAATAGGAAGTGTAAACAGACCTCGGCGCTCTTTGGAAATAGCCTTCCCTTTAGATTGGCAACCATTTTGAAACTGATGATGCGCCAGGTAAACATGAAGATTGTGTGGTTTTTTAAATCATTTGGATCCCCCCCCC